TTCCCATCGTGGAAATTGAGTCACTGAATACAAGTGTCAGAGTGTGCAGAGCCCAATTCTTCCGTGGGCAATAGCAGTCCTCATTGGATCGTGGATGAATAGATCACATCGGATCATGACATGTCGTTTGAGTGTTCCATCCGTTTGCTAATTCAAGAGCCATGAAGTAGTTTTTGTTTCACATTAGCAACTGCTGTTGACCCACTCAGGTTGCTACACCCACGATTCTTGAGCTCATTGTGGACTCAGGAGTGTCACTGAGTAGTTTGCGGCAAGTGGTTTGCATGGGGGAGCCACTCTCCTGGCGCTTGGCTGGCAAGATTTTGAAGCAACTTCCTTCGGTTCACCTCAAGAACTTTTATGGCTCTACAGAAACCGATACTCGACAAGGCAGAAAATCGTTCAAAGCTGTTTAAAGCATAAACTTGTGGCATCCAGAGCATCAGCCTGGTCGAGCTGTAAAGACCCAACAAGGTCTGTGATTTGTTTCACCAAGTAGCTGTATCATGCAACTGAGGAGAACACCATCTACAGGGTACCGCCGAATGGCAACTTCAGTCAAGAATCTGCTGTACCAGCAGGGCAGCCACAGCCTCATGTCTCCGTTCATTTGTTGAAAGTTGACTCCCTGGAGCTGTCTGATGCTGATGAGGATGAAGGTGAGATTTGCTTCGCCGGTGTGATGTCCTCGGGCTATTGGCAGCGGCCAGACCTCACGTCTGTGACCTTTGTGGATCATCCGCAGCTCGGTCGGCTCTACCGCACCGGTGACCTCGGTGCGTGGAAGAGAGGGCAGCTGCATGTCTCGGGTCGCATCGATCGACAGGTGAAGGTCCGGGGCTGTCGAGTGGAACTTCAGGAGTTGGAATTTGCCTTGAAGACCCTGAGCTCCGAAGCGTCTGATGGACTTGGAGGACTGCAGGAACTGCAGGAATGCTCTGCTGTGGTGGCAAGTGCACCGGCTTCACATTTGCAGATCGTGGTGTTCGTTTGCCCAGAGACTTTGGACCTTGATCTGATTCGTGAGCAGGCGACTACGCGGCTCTCGCCACAACTGATGCCAAGCCTCTTTACTGCTTTGCCACAGCTCCCACGCCTGGCCAATGGAAAAGTGGATTTGGTGAGCCTCAAGACTCTTGCTTCCAATTCTCTTGCAAAGCAAAGCACCGAGACGCATGCTGTTCTTGACTCCTTGGGCATTCTTCAGCACCTGACCAAGTCACAAATTGAAGAGGACAGGTGGATACAGAACCAGCAGGCCTTTTGGACTTTGTTGGTCATGATGGAACATTTTCACTTCACCCGTGGAGCCGCAAGAAGTGGACAAGCCTACGGCTATGGTGACTCTGACTTCGTGGCCCTCTTCATCCTGATTGATGTTTGCCATTGCAGGGACATGGTTGCATTCTTGCTCCTTCTTGGCTTTACTGACTCACGCATGAAGGGAAGCATCCACTCGTTAGGTCCTCGAGATGCGGCAGTCTTCATCACTGCACTCTTCATGACCCTGATCTTTGGACCAGTGCATCGGGCTGTGCTCACAGATTGGGACACCTTCCCTCAAGTTCGAGTGGGTCCCGAGTGGTTTCTCTACACCTACTTTTGGGCGCGCGTGGTGTTGCTGGGGCTTTGTCATGTTGCTCGACCTGGCCTGTGGCAAGCAATGTTCATGTTCTTGATGGCCTTGTGTCCAGATGATCTCTTTTGGCTGCAGCTCCCTATGTCATTGCGTGCTTCGCTTGAGGACAACGTCCCATTGGACACGAAAAGCCTGAAGTTCACAGGATTCTTTCTACCTGCTTGCTACCTACTCTCCTTTTATGCCTCCCAGGCTGGGATTGTCACTTGGTGTAAACGATCCGGACAGCGTCTTATGCAAAGGGTGGTAGAGGTCACTTCGCTGTTGGAGTGGAAGCTGGAGCTGAGCTTCTCTTTGGCGTGCTTTTCGCAATGGCTTGTCCTTTCATTGCTGTGTGGAAGGTGGCCCAAATGGAATATGATCCCCTTTGCCTATCAAGATGGATATCAAGCGGTTTTTGTGGAAGTGGGAGACCACACAGTGTCTTGGGACTATATGACCAATCCTTCGTTATTGCTTTACTTGGCCATTTGGATCGGGGAAGCTTTGCTCCTTCTTTTGCCGGGCATGTTCATTGCTTTGGGAATGGTCTACCTTCCATGGCACTTCAAAACGATGGGTACCGCTTCCTTCGGCATCTACGTGATTCACGTCCCAATTGCATATACTCCATGGATCAGACATTTTGAGGCTCCAATACTGCAGCGAATCACCGACCCTGCTTGGAACGGAGGGATCAACCTCCTCATTGTTCTTGCTTGGAATGCCTTGTTTTGCATCATTTTCGCTCACTCCATTGGTGCGAAATTTCATCAATTGCTCGTCTCAACATTGGCGAAAATCGCTCAACTGCAAAACGTTTTACAGCAGAAGGCGACGCACAAAGATATCGACTCTGTTCCTGAATGCGTCTAACGACACTTTTGAAACGACGCCTGGAAAGAAAAACAACAAATATATTTTTATTTTTTAATCAACAAATCCTGCCTCTTATAACATGGTAGGGTTTAAATTCATATTTGTCTAATATAGAATCACATTTCGATTTTAAAATATGACAAAATTATATGGTTAAATAGATATATATATATATGGGAGTTATCTAAAAGGTCCTTGTAAGGCTTCTTAATGTCGAGAGCCTTGGATGATATGATCATGGGTCTTGGGATTTTTTTTTGAATTCGCGAATATTATTTTTTTTCCGCGAAAGATTCGCGAAAATATGATTTTTATTGTATGTTTGTAGTTGTGTCTTCTAATTCGTTTTGTTTGGATTGAGAAGTAGTTCATCTGTTCTTGATCGTTAGTAGCTTTAAAATTGGAATCCGTGTGAAATTGCTTTCTTGTTTTATGTAATTTATTTTTTATTATATATGTCGTAAAAATTTCTAATATATAGGGATTATTTCGCGAAAGTCTGGCGAAGATTTCGACGAATGAATCGATTTTAAAGGAATTCCGTAATCTATAATAATTTTATAAATTTATTTTTTGTTCGATTATGGTAGAAACATATACGAAGAAATTATAGGCATCTTCGATATGAATTATAATATTATATTATGGATAAATATATAGGAAAATATGTGCTAACAAAATTTTGTTTAATACTAGTTTTTCGTTTATAATATTTGTTGTTGAATCAAAAATATTCCGTATATTTGTATTTAGAAATCAAATACCTATAAGGCTTAATGATTTTAAGAGATATTGATCCTTCGCGAGCTTAAGGAGTTCAGGATCAGGTAGGTAGATCTTGGACATCAGCAATTCGATTGTTGTTAGCCAATCTTTCTGGTCCATGATCGTTTCGAAACGAATCTAGGATGCTAGTCGGAATGGTGTTGCCATTCTATCCCGAATAGGTATGACGTCCGGATGGCTTAACTTAAGCTCGAAGAATTGACGTCGACTATGCGGAAGATGGAAGTGCAACCAGTGCCAATACTTATGCTTATCGGAGCCCATCCATTTCTCCGACTCGGCGACGAGCATGTAACGAAGGCGGTAAGAAATCCCATTTCGGTCAGTAGGGCTGGGGTGCCAGTTGCACAATGCATCTTCTTCCGCATGGACAAGGTGAATGTCATATTGGCCAGGAGAAGCAACTTCCATCAACGTTCCAAACACACCCTTGGGCATGGCTATTACATCCAGTGTTGCAGAAACATGGCGCCCAAGAAACAACATTCGCAGAGCTAATACAACGATAGCCCCCGTGTAGCTACCTGCGCTAAAACCTTCAACATGAAACCTAGAGGGTAGAGGGGGCATACAACCCTTCTGAATTTGTGCCATTCCCAATGCATCACAAGTATGGCAGACACATAAGGATATGCACAGGCTGGATCGACAAGAGCTTCCACCATAGCCCACTCAAAAATGCAGCATGAGGCACTCTGCGATGAGCTGGCAATTGTCTGGAAGCCTCCAGGACCACTTGCGTTCTGCGATACAGGATGTCCGCTCGGCCATAGCCCACCTCTTCCCAGCACTCACAGGGGTCAGCAGTGTACGACATCAACATCGCAAGCTCATGCAGACTAGTCGTATGGCCTGCAGCAACCTCTGTGCATTGCTCACCGTACCGATCTGCAGGTGCCAAGGAGGGGCCATAGACGCAAGTCCCATTTACTCTTGGGTGGGTACAATGAAACGTTGGGGTGGTTGGGCTATCTAATGTGCCTCCCCCAAGACCTCCACAATTAATTTGGATTCGATTGGGAGGGGGTGACAGTGGGACAGTCAGCCAGAACCTGTAAGATTGCGCCATGTGCCATAGCATGGTTTCCCAACAAGGAGTCCAAGGATGAGTCTCATACATGGAGCCCAGGATTATTGAGGCTACCGTTTCGACTGGTGCCGTCTGCTCAGGGATGCGGCTGAAGGCAGCGCCCTGCAGTTTATGAAACTCTGTTTGGTCCTCTGTGGGTAGAATGCCTATGGCTTTTTGAAACATGGTTCGGAGGTCCACAGTGAGGTCTTCGTGCACCACAGGGATACCTATCTGTTGGGCAACTTCTTGCCATGGCACAAAGAGCGCCGGCGAGCGCGCATTGGCACATGATTTTGTCCTGTCACCCATTGATCCTGAATATGGACGACAATATGTCCATGGACGACATGTCCTTTGCAGATCTGTTGGACACAAGCCAAGCTCATCTCAAGCGCCCTCGCATCGAACCGGCGTTATCTCCGGGGCAAAGCGGCTGGGAAAGGCAGATCGAAATCCTCAACCACCTCTTCTAAGCACGAAGGGGATACAGAGCTTTTGATGATGTTGGCCAAGCTGACGCTACGGCAAGAAGACATGTTGAATCAGATGGCACTGGACCGCAATTTCCTGTTGTTCCTGCAAGCAGGTCGTTGCTCGATACTGCCGGAAATGATCTTGGCTGCCAAGGAATGGCATCACCAGAGACAGAACTCAGGTGTCACATGTTCGCTCCGCCAGGTCAACTTCCTCAAGGTAGTCGAGATATTGATCCAACGCCTGACGAAGCTGAAATACGACAATCCGGAAGATCCTTTGGTCCAAGCCCTTCGCCAGAAAGGTATCTTGACAGCAGAGAATGCCTGGAATTACCTTTCGTGGGACAGTGCAGCCAAATGATTTCGACCGACGAAGCAACAGCCGCTAACACTAGAGAAGGTCCAGGAGCTCACCATCCAGCTTTCACAGTTGGCAAGCCAAGGAGACCTGATCCAGCGCTTCACAGCGCTCAAACCAATGAATCGAGATCAAATCCCGCAAGACTCTCAGGTGACGATACCATGGCGTCTCGATCTCAGTCTCCGAAGCGCAGCCTCGACTCAGCTGTTCGAGATTCTCAACACCTTGAGCGGAAGCGGGATATGCCAGTCGATCTTGCTGCGCTTGAGGCCGACCGGCCTGCAAAGATCCCCGCTTGCTACCGCCATTGTCCACCGTGTGAGACGCTGATGCGCCAACTGCTCCGGACAAAGCTTTACAATACCTCCAATGCCTGCTACATCAATGCAGCACTGATGGGACAGCCTTGGGCCACTTTGGCTTTTGAGGGTTTTAATCCTGAGCTATGGGGTCAGTGGAGGAAGCCTCTTCTTGAATTGCTCGACACCCCTGCTGGGGTGGATCTTTGTGCTGCTGTTCCATTTCAATGCCTGCTGAAACCGTGGTTCGATGAACACGTTCCCATAGAACAGCAGGACGCAGCTGAATTTTGGGGTGGCTGAGAGGTCAATACCTCCACGGCCATGTTTGGGGAATGGAGTCCAATGGCTGGCAAATACGCCTAGCCAACTCCACAGAAGACCGCGGTGCTCTCCTTGCACCTTTGCTCCTTCGAATGCTGGAAGAAAAGAGATGCGTTCTGCAAATTTTGATCAACATGTGGCATGGCCAGGATCCCTTCACGAACGCCTGCATTCATGCCCATCCATGCGTAATGTGGCAACCCGAAAGATTCCCAGCACTTGGCTTGAAGCGTGATACTCCAGTGGACTTCTCTCGTGCCGAGGTCCATATACCAGTCTTCAATCATCCCTCCGGTCGGGATGTCAGCTGGCTACAATACCGAGTGGTGGCCATTATGTATCATTTTGGAGATGACCCGGACAGCGGCCACTACCAGTGTCTCTTCATCAGCTCGGGTAGCTCATGGATGACTGATGATGGAAAGAGGCGATCAGGTGCCCAGTTGTTGATCCCATCCGCCGCTCTGCCTATCTGATCTGGATCATTCCTCAGGAAGATCTGAACATGCGGTGGCGGAGGCCCATCGAAGATTTGCACATTGATCTTTCCAACTTGCTGCCTACGGCCTTTTCCGGTGTGGCTACTTGAGCCCACCTTTTTCGACCTTTCGCATCGTGCCTGTGGCTAGATGCTCACTGAAACAACCGCAATTAGATAGCTATGCTGCCCAACACGGGCCTGACCGCACTCAGGCTGGAAATGAATGAATGAATGAATTTAATCACGAAAGGTAGCCCTTTAGGGGATACCTTGAGTTTGTCTTGCGAAGCAAGTGTTGGGACGTCCGGGTCTAATAATTGATCGCTCAATTCAGACCCCCCCCCCCCGCCCCCTTGGAATTGATTTTTCAATACAGACCCCCCTCCCCCCCTCTAAAATCAATTCTCTCCTGGAGAACGTCTTCGTGAGCCTCTCATGATTTCAGGATAGTGGAAACCCTCTTGAACATTTAGAAAGAGTGAATATGAAATTCTAATCACGAAAGGTGTTCCCCGAGGGGATACATACCTAGAGTTTGTTTTGTGAAGCACGTCAATTCTCTCCTGGGCACCGTCTTCGTGAGCCTCTTATGGTTTCAGGATAGTTCAGATTCAAATCCTATGATGTTCCGATTCAATGCTCACCGATGATCTGAGCCATGGGGCAAGTTTGTTTTCCTAAGAACCTTTTTGAACATTTCGAGAGCATATGTTTGAACATTTACAGTGCATATGAACATATATTTACGAAAGGTCGCCTCCGAGGGGATAAATCACCATGTCAAACATTGCATGTTTGTTCCTGCCTCTCGCGTTCTTTTCTCTTCCCGCTGTCCTACCTTTCGTGTCTCCCTCCTCTCAAGTAAATATTAATTGGATAATTAAAGAATCTAAAATTTATATATTAATATCTATATTATATTAATTATGTTATATTAATATTAATATTGAATCTAAAATTTTACTATATTAATATTTATTGAATATATATCCATCTTGAATTTCAAATGATTTTTGAAATATGTTTTTCTAAGAAATATATGTTTTTGAAAGACAGCATTTTTTGTATATGTTACAAACAAAAATATATTTGTGATTTGTTAAATCCTCCTTAGTTAGTGTCTTGAGATCTTTTTCGGCGTTTTGCGTGCAACAGGCGTCTTTGAATGTCCGCATCGGATGCGTCCGGATGAAGATTT